TTTGTTTTAAGTTTTTGTATAATAAAACTAAATATAAATTATTTTATTTACATAATAATCGTCATAAGAATCTTTTATGATCGCATCACTAGGCACAAGTTTCTCCTTACAAAATATATTATTTAGTATAAACATTCATATAATTTAGTTTTTAGCATTTACCAGTTTTCTGTTTATATTTTACTAATAAAAGAATGACAGTATGAAGGTTTCTTAAATGAAATGCGAGTATATTTGGCTGGGCCTGTAATATTACAACAAAGTATAATAATATAGTATCAGTGATACATGAAAGAGCACTATTTGTAGTACCTATGCTATTTTATTAATAAAACTAAATTAACATTTGTATCAGGTGACGTCACTGTTATCTATTTATCATAGTAAGACAAGCCTACAGTGTTTAATACATACAAACACCTAACATTAGCCATCACTGAATCTCAACAACAAAACACCATCTGTACTCTGATACATTCAGTGTAAGACGAGATCCAACCTAGTATCGTATAAATAAAATCAACGTTGCAAGCATACAACATAACAATAAAACTTTTATTATTATTATATCACTATTATTACAAATTCAATAGGTTATGTCAGCCGCCTACCGTAATGAAGATGTAATGGGGCCGCTCGTATCAGTAATCCTTTGTGGAAGGGGGTGACCAGAGCTGAAAGGATGTCACACGAATATGATAGATATTTTGACAGTAATGCTACAGCTCCGGCTACTAGCTGATGCATGGGCTTAAATTGACGCTTTTTAATTTTTAATTCCATTCATAAAGGGTGCCAATTAATAAACACGGTGAATATGTATTTCGCGCATCTGTTAAAAATCTTTGTGATCGATCATTTGGACAATTAAATGAGTTATACATTTCTCTGTTTTTCTGTGCACTTTTTTGTACAGTTTAATTCAATAAATGTTTTATTACAATAATTAACAGTTTTTCTTGCAATATTTACATAATAATTAATTAAAAATACAAAATATAGAAATTGCATCAGTATTAAATGTCTAATTTATCTCTCTGTAGTCGTGAATGTAATGTAGGTGTACCAAGATATGATAGGAAATCTGCCTTTAATTACTCTTAACCGAAATCAATAAGTTATATTATAGAAATTATAACCGTAACTATGAAAATAACATATAACTTCTAGAGTACAAATTAAAACACATGTTTAAATAAATACGGGCCATCATGTCCAATTATGCTTAGCTATAAAAATAGTTGAGATAAATAATTCAAAATTTGCGACAAACCTTATCCGAAAATCCTTAATCCGAAAATTACTTAAATATTTTAGTAGCATATTTGAATATCTCCAATAACTGTAATGATTATTACTGTATCAATGATTAGTGATATATGCCAATTATTATTATATTACGTGCCAATTTCTCATCAATTTTGACAGTTAAACCCCGCGAATATCTATAATTGCCTCTCTATAAATTTATAATTTTATGATTGACATTTGTTATTATGACCCTTATCCCGAAACAGGTTATCTCATATTAAATTCATCCATCCGATCAGTAATGTTGAAGAGATTCTTTTAAATAAACATTAGTTTATTATAAACCAGGAATATCCTAGTAATATTTGCATATGATCACTTTAAATTTTAATTTGTTTATAAGATCACACATGTCTAATTTAAAATATATTTTATGAGAGCTGCATCAATGGGGGACATATTTGTGCATAAGTTTCGATGATCTGTGAGAAAATATTTGCGCATCTTTGAATAAAAATAAAGTTTTATTATTATCACATTTTTTTAAAGTTATAGATGCGTTTCAAGCGATTTCGTGACGTTTCAATTCAAGCAAAAAACTTACCAATCAACTTTTCATTTTAAAGTATGAATACTGCGACATCTCTCATTGTGGATTTTTACCGTTACTTTCATCATTTTAGTTAAAAAAGTGTAAATTTTTGTTATAAAAAAACTGTTGACGGGGGTCACGCCTAAACCGAAATTAGGGTTTCTTCTAAGCCAACCTTTATTGCACTTTGACACGGGATGTTCTAAAGAAATCATTGATTACCCGGATAGTTTTTTTTTTTCATTTGAAGATTTTATTGAGATATCGACATTTGGGAAACGGTGGTTTTAGATAATGTTACCATATCTGATTTAACAATGCTTATAACCCCTTTATAAGTTACGGTAGACATGTGAATTAAAGCAATCCTTTGATTTTGGTACGGGTACGTAATACATATAAATATAGTAAGGGTAGAGATAAAAACGTTTTTTATGTAATTGGAATAGTAACAAACTACCGATGTGATACGCAGTATATTTTATGTAATGTCTACCAAGGTAAATAGTGGTAGTCATAAAAATGTAATCGAAACAGATTCTTGTTTCATAATAATAAGATAGTGATTCTCATTAAATGTGTTCATTCTATTTACTTTGTTATTTGAGAACAGAGGAAAAGTTATCAAAGATTCTTTATGGCCAGTGGGTCGGAAGCGAGTCGGTCAGCGTTTGTCCACCGTTTGTCACTAATGACGTGGCCACAATTGCCCTTTTTACACTACTGTCACGTACAAGCCAGATCACACAAACTTCCGCCTAGTGAATAAGTGCAAGAATTTGTTTAAAAAGAAATTATTTAATTCCATTTAGAGGATTGTTAGTTATTATCCTCTATCTTTTAAGTTATGTCGAAAAAACCATTTGGTTACTTTTATTTGAAAATATAGATTGCGATTATAATAAGTCTAGTTCAACTACTAGATAGGTGCAATAAATATTTAGATGGTGATGTGTATGTAACTTTATGTACTTGCCACTTTTTCTTTATGTTTTTATTAATGCTATTTTACACTATCATTATCAGAAATAGTTGTCCTTCAGAAATAGTATATGTGTATCATGAATTTGAATTTTTAAAATTGAAGTAGTTAAGCGTAGATAGCTTTTATAAGCTATCTACGCTTTTATTGCTTCAGATTCCATTGAATAATGTGTTACGAAATATTGATCTAAGATTTATTTGGAATATTGTTTGTTACCCAATAATTACATTAATAATTTTATAGTTACAGATCTAAAATGAATTAAATAACTAAATAACCGTAACGTTTCTAATAATCCGTTGCTATGCCATGCCTATTACAATTCGGCTGACATAGGTAATATCAATATTGTGTTATGAAAGCTGTCATAAATGGTCCATTGGGACACGTCTACTGAGCATATAGGCCGGAACTAAATGTCCGCTTGTACTGCACAATGGTATGGTTTAGTGCAACATGACACCCACAATACCACACAACGTATGCTCGCTGTTAGTCTGTCTCAGTATTGTGCTGACATTTGATAACATTCGCTCATCTCGATTCCCGTGATCGCATTATGTCCGATGCGCATCCGGTGTTTTATCTGTTTTGCTACGCTTAAATTATTATTTTTAGCCATAGATAATAATACCTAGGACAAATGAATTAATGGGTATGTTATGGATGTGGTATTGGCATTGTGTGACTGACATGTGTCTTTGTTATTACTAGTGATATACAAGTATCTACTCCGAAAAAAACTACTGATTACATCTTTAGTTTAATAGAATTAAACTCTATTAAAGGGAAAATACAAAGTTTATTTTTTATAGACTATTCTTAATTGATTCAATTTAAAATTATCGTTTTTTGTTACATTCATTTAAATCGTAGTTTTTATAATTTATTATTTTGTAGTACCTAACTGTGTTAATTGACTAAATTGATTGATTAGGTTAAAAAACAGCCTATTCCTTATCCGATATACTATACCTATGTATAACTATTTTTCAAAAGATGACGTTATAAAGTAACATATATACATGCAAGTCAATTTAAAGATTGAGAGTGGTGTGATCTCCTTGTTTACTGCCTGACTTAGATCTCAAAGGTTAATTCATATTTCTATCTAATTCTTCGGTTATGGAAACACCTATAACAATCGTGTGTAATGTAATGTAAGCATGATAAATGTGAACATACGCAACACATAATGTTTTCACGGTTCTCATCTCAACTAGAGAATTACAATAGTTTTCTAAATTAGTAAGTAATAGTGGTTTTCATCTTATTTGTCTTCGTAAGGAAGACCTGAGACATATATTTGCCAGATTTAATTGCTTAAATGCTATAAAAATCTTCATTGAGAACATAAAAGTAATTTTATACTTTTGCTGAACCATCCCAGCGTAATACAACAATTGATTTCCGTTTCCTACGACCAGATAACCGCCACACCCCTCGCGGATTTTAAAATTGCATTGAATTGCATATTGGATGCTCACATTCAACGTACATTACACTTGTATGAGCCGTACTGAAGAAAGTATAGATATACGAATATATTCAACTAATAAGTTTCTGCTTGATTACTGTATATTTGACTTAAAAATTTACTTATCGTGTTCATTATACAAGATATATATTATGAATAAAAGCATTATTAGTTTGATGATGAATAAAAGCATGATTATTTATTTTTTAATTTCCCATTAATACTAATCTCTATGAATGTTTAACCTTGGTAAAAGCAAAAGTTTGAGAAATATCAACGTAGTACCTAACATTATAATTGAAAGAAGGTAACCGCTAAGAATGAATGTTTATTTCCAATCTTTCATTAACTTATGTTTCTTTTATCGTACTGCTTACTTTCAAATAACATAACACTCATAACATACCTCATGATAGACACGTGGCATGTCAAATTTTTGTAGTACGTACCCAATTGAAAATAACAAGAACGCAAACTACTTAAGGACATCAATAAAATCGACACTTTATTGCATCCGCGCTTGACAAGCGCCTCAATTTTGGTTCTAATTTATTAACGAGCCAACCCGTTTCTGACACCCAATTTTCACGCACTTGACTCGAACTTTTTTACAAGTGGTTCATTCACCCAAATGGGTTATAAGTTATCCTTAACAAGAAGAAAGAGCGCCTTGTCATCACTACTCAAAAACTTACCTCCCAAGCGTACTTTGACTCCAACGGCTGCGTCCCCCACTTGCCCATAAATGGTCCGTACTTAGTTCCAACTAAAATATTCGATCTAGCGAAGATGCCACCATTTTTCAATGTTAGTTCATTTGGAATATTGAAATTAGAGGTCTCCTCTGGCTCGTCGTCTTTTATCGCTTCGTCTTTGTCTTTGGAACTTTTATCTGGATCCAGAAATTTCTGGTTTTGTAAATCGATTGGTCTGGATAAATAGCCAGCGCCGTATTCAGCGTAATTTGGTGACAGATATGTGTCAGAAAGTGTGAAGTCTAGACCGCCGTAGTATTCTTTCACATCTGCTCCCGGCGGCATATTTTCCTGCTTGATGTGGACTAGAGTAGGAGCGGATTCCGACCCGACGGAATCCGTCGGGCTCGGCGGTGGGCTCCCAGATTCCTGGCTGTCTGCTGCTGTGGAAGAAAAAATTACACTGAAGAAACAGTTTTGCGATAAGCATAATTTAATTAAAAAAAATCTAATTAAGAGTACCAAAACGTATATTCTCCATCGGATCAATTGGACACTGGATGGTGTCATATGCTCGTTGCCCAATTTTTCACAACATAGAATATTATAATTTGATATTATCAATACCATTAACATCTAATATCTTTTTACTATAGGTATATACTAAAAAGTACAATAGTAACGAGGCAAACAAAGTCGGCATTTCTGTGTCTTAAGGATTTATGTAAATATCTGGAGAATATAGGAAAAAAGTTGTATATTATGTATGTAAAATATTGGTTAAAAAGAAATGCAATGAATAAATATTACAATTTTATGAATACTTTTAATATTTGCCACCTACAATTTTATCAATAAAATTAATAGATAGCGTTGTATAGATCATTTATTTATTGTAATCCCCCAATTATCATCAATATATGGCAATTAAGAAATGTATACGCGTAAGTTGCGGGCACCACTAACTGTTATAATACATTGATAAAGAACTTTTCATAATCTAAATATTATTCAGGCTAAGTTAACTTTTAAGTAACTTAGGAAATTAAGTAATGAATAAAATTATACATCAATATATTAATCCACTACCTGTATCCCTGACAATCCCTGTACATAATTCGAATCAGAAGTTATCCTATGTCATATAGGATATGATCTATATGTATACCAAAATAGTTGTATGTAATAATCCATTCTTATAAAAATTTGCGTTTATCATAAAAATATAGAATGGACTAATATTTCGTCATTTAGTCTCATATTTATTTATAATATATAATATTATAATCGTGTTACTAATGGCTATTAAACTAGAGATAATATTTAAAACATACACAGTTCGTATCAAGAAATCTGGCCAGAAACCATCCCTAGAGGTAGCACTTAATAATACGATAAAAACAGAAGACGAGTGCAAGATGCTGATCGCATTATGTCTGTTTCCGCTAACCACAAAAGGTTTCCGCTTGTCTCTCAGAGCATCCCTGCTGTATGCAAATCCAGCATCTTTGATTACTTTTTTACTTTGTCCAACCCCAATATTTTGTCCTTTAGATTGGTAGTCTTGTTTTTCGTTGTGGTTATGAACTTTACGATCCCTTGAATGATTTTTATATGTATGGTATCTACATTATTGCTTCTATTACACTTAAATATTTATTCATAAACACCAAAGTTATATTGAGTAACAAATCAAATAATTAAGTGCCTAATCAGAGTTTCGAAAGTATTATATGTCAAGTCCAGAATATATAGGTCTATATCCGTATATGAAAGTTGCCTTAAATTTAAATTAAACGTTAATGTATTAGATAAATAAGGATAAATTGATATGTAACTATACTAAGGTAAGGTAAAGGGCTTGTAACAGAAATACGATTATTACTCCTTTTATTGCTTCGATATTGTAAGAAGCGTCTAAAGGAATACACAAACATAAAAAAAGTTCAAATAACACCCTATAACCAAACTGGCCTTACCAGCATGATTAGCTCCTCCTTATAAGAGATCTATGTCTAGTGAAAGAACATTAACAGATTGGTATAAAAATTATGTAATGCGAAATTAGGTATTGATATGTAAGTATATAATAATTTGATCAGCCAAAAACGGTTACTCGGTTCAATCACAACATACCACCATTTTAACATCAACGTACATTGTACATTTAAAATAAGTACTGATTACATGTAGATTAATTGCGTAAGATTAAGTAATAGTAATATGTAATAATATTAAAATACCTATTTATAAATCATAAATGTAATAAAACAACGATAACGCAAACACCAAGCAGCCAATTTTGTAGCTTACATAAATTACAAATTACAAGCTCCCATTAGTTTTAACATGAGCCTATATAAATTATTCAAAAGATTAGGAAAGTTCCAAATTATAATTCAGTGTATGGCGGCTTTCATATATTTCGTCACACGACATTCATGATTTTATGACCCCTTCACCCGTCTAGTCATAGTTGGTCAATGTATGAGACTCCCCCCTCCCCAGTGTGACATCACATATTTCGCAATTTTATTAAATAATATGTCCACTGTTACGAGTTACAAGCAGTTCTAATTTCGTATTTTGATTTTTAGATACCTAGGTATATATTTTTTAAATGAATGCAATGGTGCACTCGTGTGCACTAATGGCGGCACCAGTGGTGCAGGATGATATTATGAATATGATTCAGATTGGTCAGATTGCTCATCATGATTTAATAACAAGGATTTAAGCGCGACGGTTCTCAGGAGAAACCGCGTGGAGGCCGGATTTATATGATACATTGCTAGCAATGGGGACACTATATCCCATTACTAACAATCCCTACTTAGATATATTAGATTTTGAATTGTGACGTCACAAAATTTAGGTGCCTCCTCCCGCTGCTTGTCATACTAAGTCACACTTTGCCCCCGAGGGGGAGCCCTCAACATGAGATATAATTTATGGATGGGCCCTAATAGTTAGATATAACTACAGTGTTTAGTGAAGGAAACTAATTCGTATTACAGCGTACGCGTGTCATCAATAAAATACAACCCTAAGCAAATACAACTGAAAGAGACACTCCATAAATCATAACCCACCCTATTACACTAATATAGTTGTTAAAACAACCCCTATCTTGTCCATACGTCTTCCTAAGCACGCGTCGTGAAAAAAACGCTATAAAATTAGACGCTTGATATACGTTTAATTCAACACGCTTAAAAGAGAAATGATAACTGCTTAACATAACAAAAGCTTACTTCCATTCACTATCCAGGATGCGCGTGAACGCAAAGGAAGCCTTTATTGAATGAAGTTTGGTGAGTATTGCATTTGGGTTGCTATGCGGATTCACCTGCTTCGCTGATAATAAAAATGTCTTTTGTTTATTAAAGCATATTTCACATTATAAGACCAGTGGCACAAAACTAGTTTTATGATATTTGTTACATATTTTTAACAGTTTATTAAAGTAGTTACGTGTACCGAAAACCGTTTCGTACTCTACGTAGCGTTTTAATAAAACGCATGTAACTAATTTTGTATAAACATGATATAAAACTGGAATTGCAAAATTTTCATGTTGACGGTGCCAAACTTTTAGGTCTGTTGTAGACTTTACTAATGAAACTATTTTAGTATTATTTTACATTAAATCTAGAAATTTATATCGTAATGAAAATTAAGTTTGAAAATTAGTATTAGCTACTGAGCCACTGCTTTTATAATAATGTACCTTAAATTGAATGGATGCAACATGATGTAGTAGTTGTAGTAGTAGTAGTAACGAGTTATTAAGATGAACCTCTAAAATTACGCTACCAATTGCTTGCAAACATGTACCTAATATAAAAAAAGTAGATACACTACTTCATAAAAATATTATAGTGAGTATTTTCTTCGTTACGTGTATTGTGATATTGGCTAATAAGACACGGTCCAATGAATTGTAAAAAGCAAAGTTCGATTTTCAAATTCAAATTAGTCACCTCGACAATCCCAAGGCTCATTTGAAGCGTTTGTCCACATACGCTGCGTGCACGGACAATGCAGACGAGTCGTCGTTAAATCTCTGGTTTCCGCAGAAACCCACCAGTTTTAAAATAAGAACATAGTTTGAACAAGACAAGGTGTAGAGCTGTCTTTCGAAAAACAGCTCTGTGTTTTTCTTATAGAATGCATGCAAATTAATTATCGTACTATTAAATACAGCTGTCTGTAATGTAATCAATATATGATCTAGTATGAACCTCTAGTAATATATAAGATATAGAGCTACTTGTTTCTATTTTACTTTAGTATAAGTTATTTAATTAGCGACTATTTTAAACTTTGTAACGTAATGTAATAAAATTTAATCCTGAAGATTATTCAAGATGTCAAAAAAGTTTATTTTATGGATTTCATTGTACTGTCATCAATATCATTGAGTATACCACTTCTTCAGTAGGGGCATAGAACGGAATGGGCATGAAGTTTCACTCAAACAACTTATATCGCTAAAAAAATATCAAGACCTGAATTATAATTTTAAGATTCACTTTATACAATATAACCCGCCTATCAATATATACCTACTAGTTCGTCAATATAGATAATATTGAGCACAGCGCAAGAAGTCTGATATTTTCAAACCCATTGTGTCGTTTAATTGTGAAATGGAAAGACAGACAGACGCACTTTCGAGAGTATAGATAATATCAGTAACGATATATAAAAATTGTTATAGTCGTCTCTGAACATTTCTGTTTGCAGACCCCACTGCAAGCTAATTTCACAAGTTAGCCATGGAGACTGACAATAACCACACGGTTTACGTCGCTCTGTCACTGCGAGTTCACGGCCCGACTCATAAACCACTCAATGCTAACGAGCTATAAATCATATAGTAACGACCCAAAGTCTAAAATCGTTTGTGAAATATTTTTAAACGGGCAAGTGTGATGTTAAGTAGGCGTGAAAACTGCATGCCTCATCGGACATACGGCAAGTGAGAATTCATTTGAGACGAAACAATAGTAAGAAATTCGCGGAAAGCTGCACTTTCTAACATTACCTTAGCAATAATGAATAAGCACGCAATCGTTGGTAACCATTTAAGTACATTACGACCGTCTAATTACTTATGTAATTAGTTACCCCCAAATTAATACCTTTAAGCCGCAGGAATATATCATCATATTGTTTTAATATTATTGAACTTATACTCCGCACGTTATAGTGTGGTACGGATGACATGAACAAGATTTAGCATTTATGTATCCTAGTTCTATTCTATAAATTAATCAGTTGTGAGAGAAAATCTATTATATCTGTTAGATTGTTACCACATATTATTATTATTATATGTGTGAATATTTGTGAAACTATATAGAAATATTCACATGTAGAGAACTGCAAAAATAAATATTACAATAAAAACTATTTTGTCCCAAATTATTCAAATCCG